AACTAAACAAAAAATTAAAATTAAAATTAACTTACTTCTTATTCCATTCATAAAATTTATCTCTATTTTTTTTTCATGCTAATTCTATAAAAGTAACAAATGGCCATTTTCCAAATTTTATTAGAATTCACTTCCTTAGCAGACTTCAAATAATATGAAAACACTTAATGCTTATCAACTTCAACTCCAATTCCAAAATAATAACAATAACCAACTTAATACATTCTGTTAGAATTATCTATAAATGCTGATTTTTGATAATGCAAGAATAAATTAATGCAAATAAATCAAGTTCACACCAGAGTACAAAATTTCTGGATACTGGAAGCTGCTTTTTCTCTGGCAGTGTTTATTTTAACTGGAACTTAGAAAACTTAGCTGAATGTAGCAGTTTTTTAATAATAATATTGTAATATTTATTAATATTTATATACATATGTATAAATGATATAATATTCGGCAATTTTCTAACTGATGAAAAGTCAAGGTAGAAATTGTTACATGTAAACGAAATCTCTGAAATTTTACAATAGGATTTGTGCACTAGTTCGCACAAAGCATTAAGCTATACAAATTTAATTTCTTAGTTAATCGATCTGATCGGGTTATGAAAATTAATTAATTTTGCCTTATCATTATATATTTTTTTAAAGCTTATTGGTTATATATAAAAGTTAGGGTAACTTATAATTAAAATTTGTTATATATTAGATTAATAGCTAATTAGATTACAGAATTTACATTACATAATATATATTACGTATTTTTTTTTTAGCTCTCCCCCTACTATTCTATGGACTATTAATTTATGTTAAACAGAAAATTAAATTGGTATAGCCTAATGATAATTTAGGTTTTAGAACTCTAACTAAATAAAAAAATCATGTGAGCTCGAAACTAATAATAATAGAATATATAGAAAAATTTTCTATTATAACTACATTGCTGATATAACTGAGAAAATTTTTATTTTTTATTGACAATTATACAATTACAAAAAGATGCAAACAAATAAATTGGCAAATGCATGGTCACTAATTCTAACTACTCACATTACTTGAATTAGTGGGACTAGCATGGCTAATACTATTAGCATTAGCATTATTAACACCATTAGCATTATTAACTAGGGACTGTTCCTGACTTCTTTGCCTATTAAAAGAACCTTGTCGATTTAACATAGTAGTAACCTCTTCATATAAAGGAGGTGGGGTATGGTTTTGATGTCTTTCTCGCCTTTTTGTATTGATAAGTATGTGTATCTAATCCGATTGAATTAAGTAACTAAGAAAACTGGCATATCATCAGATTAAGAACCAAATAACAGATATAATTGATTATAATGCATGAAATGTATAGGCCAATTTACCTAGTCTTTCCCAAAAGTAGGTACAAAATTCATCAAAATAATGCTCACTAGTCTTACTTCTTTTCCTCTTACTATTTCCAGCTATAAAGTCACATACTAGCTAACGAAAAATATCTATATGATCCTTAGTTTTTACAACTAATAATATGAGTGTATGAGAGTGAAAACCAGGAAGTCTAAAAATAGATTATTATGAAATTCATAATAATCTATTTTTAGACTTCCTGGTTTT